TTTTTTTTTTTAATAAATAAAACAGGCCCTCATGGTCCTGGCTCCATTTCCATTCTGGGGAGCATCAGTCCGTTTCCTATTCTGGATATGCTGTATTTCTTCTTTCCTTTTCGGTGTATGTTTTTCGCTTTTCTGTTCTTAACAATTAATACAGATTGATGAACTATGGGTCTCTTAGAGGTTCGATACATTCGAAACGTTTGAACAAGTGAAGTGTACGTGGTCTACGTGGCTGGCTGTACATGCTCTTTCCCTTTTTGTGTATGCATTTCCCTTTTCCGTTCCTTTACATAATACATATTGATGAACTATGGGCCTGGCTGCACTACAAGTACTGGACCTGTTAGAGGTCCGATACATTTGAAATGTTTGAACAGTCAAAGTGTATGTGGTCTACGTCGCTGTCCACATTCTTGTCGAATGTTGAGCCGTGAACTGAGGCCCTATGTCAGCCAGTTGCCCCTGGCTGGTGTCATTTGATTCAAGTGAGGGGTCTAACAACTGATTGCGTCTTTCTGTGAGTTGGAGATCTCTCTTCTTCCAAGCAAGACAACGTGGAGCCTGCGATATACGGATACATTTATATATTTTATTTTCTTTATATTAAGTTTATAATGATCTAAATCAATATATTTTTACTCTCCAATAGAGCATATAAAATAGAAAAAAATCGATTAACTGGCACGGCGGGTAGAGGATCTCCTACAGACACATGCAGTGGGATTGGTGGATGGTTGGGGATGCTTGTTTTTCCTTCTTCGTTCTTTTTTTTTGAATTTTTTTCTCTCTTTTTTTTTTTTTCCCTATTTTCTTCTTTTTCCTTTTGGTTGAGGGGGGATGCTTGTTTTTTTTTTAATGGTGGATGTGAGTTTTGGTCAATCACCAGAGTTCAGGGGGGGCGTGTGGGGGGGTTGGGGGGCGGGGGTATCAGGCAGTGTTTGTTGTGGGTGTTATTCATCCGGACGGCCAGTTCTTCGGCACACGGAAAAGGGCAGGCCTTCTAGAAGGTGCTCCATCGAACTCGTTGTACTCCTGGTGTCGTGGGAGATTCTTGTGGCCTGCTCCCTGGTTTGTGCAGGTTTTTTTTTTTTAACCTTTTTTTGATTTATGCGTGCCATCCTTGCGCGGGCTCCAAGCTAATCTCCTCTCTCTCTATCGTTCCAATTTTGATAGATGTCCTGAAGGACGTTTGTGGAGTGTTTGTGAACTGCCTCTGATGGCTTTTATTGTGGGTGAGATTCCCAGGGCCCAGGGTTTTGGCACGGACAGGGGGTGGGGAGAAGCGAAGCTTCTCTGTCCATCGATGGTGGTTTATGCTGTTTTCTTTCGTTTTGTCATTCTTTTTGCCGGTACAAGCAGCAGCGGTACTTGCATAATATGCATAGTATTGCATACAATTAGCATGGCATGGCTATCCGACCTCTGTTCTGGGATGCTTTTTTTTTCTTCTTCTTTTTCTGGGATGCTTTTTTTATTGAATGTTTTTTTTTTTTTTTTGGGACGGGTGATGTGTTTTGACTTACGACTTCTGTCCTTGGGGTGCAAGTCGGATCTGCCCTGCTCACCGCCTGTTTTCTTGACTATGTGGCAGTGTGCCTAGATGGGTGCGTGTGGGCACCTAGTGCTTAACCCGCACGACCGTGGCCAGCCTTGCAGTCTTTTCAACCCTGCATGGAATTTGGCTGAATTTGGTGTTGGTATTAGGTCATCTTTCAGCTCTCTCTCTCTCTCTCTCTCTCTCTCTCTCTCTCTCTCTCTCTCTCTCTCTCTCTCTCTCTCTCTNCACACACACACACACACACACACACACACACACACACACACACACACTCACACACTCAGTCTTCTAGGATCACAGGGTTGGCATGAGGAAAGTCGGCGAAACCACTTTTCTCTCGGAGGGGTATCCATCAGTTGGATGCATGCTGGGCAGACTATCGGGGTCTAACCTCCTGATGCGTCGGTGGAAGTCTGATCAAACAGTCTGGCATGGTCATGCTTTTTTTTTGGAGTTGTGGACAGCGAACATGACGACACACACATGGACACACAGGAACCTACACACACCCACACACAGTTGAGTTCTTTTCTCTCGGAGGGGTATCTCTAACTCTGAAGGACATGGTGAGTCCTTATCCATCAGTCAAACGTGTCCTGGTAAGACTGTCAAGGTTCAACCTCCTGATGAGTCGGTGAAAGTCCAACGAAACAGTCTCTTCGGCACAGTCATGCTTTTTTTGTGGAGTTTCTTATAGCGCACATGATAACGCAGTCGAACAACAACGGCAACAACAGCAACAACGAGAACGAGAACAACAACAAAGCAACACACACACACACACACACACACACACACACACACACACACACACACACACACACACACACACACACACAGAGAGAGAGAGAGAGAGACATGTTTTGCTTCTCTCTCCGGCTATGATCTTCTCTTTTTTTTTTGTATCCTCCCCTCCTCCACAGGCCCCCCCACCCCCCCCATGCATGTTTTCTTGGTGCCCATCCATCTGTCGTTTGACTCCCCTACCTGTTTTACTTCACACCAACAAGGTTTTTTCTCTCTGCGACTCTGTCCATTTTTTTTTTTTTCAATTTTAATGTTGGGTGGTGAATGTTCTTGCTGTCAACATGCAGAGCAGTTGCGACGCTGTGGATACCATGTGATCATCCTCCACCAACATCCTTGTTAAGTGGTCGTCGCAGTCGAGATATTTTCTTCACAGCGTGACGTTTCTCTGTTTCACCCTTCTGAGCCTGCCCCCTTGCCATGCATGGTTCAGTCACCTCTCCCATCCCATACTGGACCTGCTCGCCCTTGCAATGCCTCCTCCTCTCTCTTTCCTGTTTTCCTCCTTGGCTTGCCCTTTGGCGCCTCCTGCATCCATTGGCAATCTTAGCAGTCTCCCCTTGTGCCGGTGGTTTGTGCAGCGTTGGAATCAATTGGAGAATGGCTGGCGTGTCCAAGTTTAGCAGGGGGAGCTTACAGCCTGCAACAGACTGCGAGTGACCACGGGGGTGCTCAGTGAGATGGCTACGTAGGGAGCTTACAGTCAAGGGAGTGGGCTCTGCCCCTCTGTTGAAGTTGATGTGGAACGATGATTGCCATCTTGACTACACTGCCATCTTGACAACCACGTCCAGTCCGAATTTCGAAAGATTTCTTGCGATGTTGCTTGCTGGCCTGTGGTATTCCATGTCAAAAGCTGAGATAACAAGAGTCATAAGACCCGCCGTTCCGTCACTTGGTTAGCAAGCTGGTAGTACCTCTGTGTACAGGAGGTCCCCCTCCCTCTCCCAGGCCATGAACCTGGCTGGCATTTTCTGAGTCTTTCCACGGCCAGCCGCCGATAGGACAGGTGGTCCCTCCCTCTCCCCATCTCCCCCTTGTCAACTCAGCATCTTTTGGATCCTCACCGAGTTTCTAACCCCCGCTGACAGGAGGTCCCTCCCTCTCCCCATCGCCCCAAACCCCAGGCTGTCCCTTGACAGATAGTTAGGCCATCCTGCCGCTTTGCGGACATCCCATCCGGCGCACTTGTGAAGATCGCAAGTGGTTGATACGTAAAGATCTGGTAAGGATGGGCATAGTACGTCGTACCTGGTCTGTTTCAGTACGTGCAGGGGAGGGGAGCTCCGAATATGTGCATCGCACGATTACTTGTCGCGTTCCGCGCTTCAAGGAGGGGAGCTCGGAATATGTGCATCGTATTTTGCCCGACTGCAGCGGTATGTGCCTTACGCTAATTGTAACACAACTCGCGCATAGCAAAGCCCAAGTCTGTCGGGGATGTTTTGCCGATTCCATTTCTTTCACTGTTTCACCCTTGGTCTTTCTCCATCGGCACTGTGGATTTGTGATGAGATAGATAGATTCATAAGGCAGGCATGTCTGCGGGCTAAGCAAGCTGATGGTGATGCTGTGTATGGTGGCAATGACTGACCAGGGGAGAACCAAATCGCTGTGCACTGCTTAATTCATGCTGTGTTTTTGGAACTGGACTGGATATCGTCATGACTTGCGACCGCGTTCATCGTGAACTCGACTCCCAAATGGTCAACAACGGTGGCGGACAAGGGAACTGTGTAACACTTCGGACGTCATGACTGGTGAGATCTAGATAACAACCCTAATCCATGTATAAGAAGAACAGGTAATAACGTGTTGTCACTGGCTGGCCAGTATCTAGGCAGAAGTTTGGACATCATGCTCTGGTCAGAGCGCAATGTGGCTTATAATTCTTACAAGCATGTTTTACAACCAATCTTTGCTTTCAGTGTGGTGTTCGGGCATAATGGCGTAATTGCTGGTGCGGTGGACAGCTGGTTGCACATGTCTATCTTCTCTCTCTCGCTCTCTTTCCTTCCCTCCATCACCTTTGTGTGTGTGTTTGTGTGTGTGAGCTTACATGTGTGCACTTTCACGTGTGCGTGTTGTGTGTGCGCCTGTGTGTGCGTGTCCGTGTGTGTGTGTGTGTGTGTGTGAGTGAAAGGGGTTGTGCTTACATGTGTGTGCACTTGCACATGTGTGTGCTTGTATATGTGTGCGTGCGTCTGTGTATGCTTGCTTGCATGTGCCTGTGTATGTGTGTGTGTCCTTGTCTGTGTGTGTGTGTGTCACAAATGTGCACTTGCACATGTGTGCTTGTGTGCTTGCATGTCTGTGCCTGTGCCTGCGTGCTTGTGTGTGTGTGTGTGCGTGTGTGTGTGTGTGCGTGTGTGTGTGTGTGTG